CTTTCCTTGATTCCCAGGGAGTCTTGGAGGAGACGCCCCAGGGATGCAAAATTGGCAAATTAGCTGGAATTTCCATGGGGAGCCGCAGCAGAGGCACCAGGCACTAACACGCTGCAAAACTGCACGAGCCGGGTGGGAAAAGCTCCCTGGGGACACTTGGGGCTCCCAAACGAGCCCCTGTTGTGACAATTTGGCAACTTGTGGCCCGTTTTGGCCAGCGAGCGTGGGGATCGCTTCCCAGCTCGTTAAAACCGCAATTCCCTCTTCCCTGTCCCGCTTGTCGGTGTTTGGAGGTCCAAGTATTTCGGCGCAGACGGCCCTAAAGCTCCCAGGAGTTGGGAATTGGGGCTCCTGTGCTGGGAAAAGAGGCCAAGCTCCGCTTTTGGGGAATTACAAAGGGAAAAAGAAGGGAGGAAAAGAAGATAGGATGGAAAGGTGCCTTTCCAGGCGGGAAATGCACGGAAAAGCGCGGAGGCTCGCGCCAGGAGAGCGGATGGATGGGAGGCCGCGGGGGGAAAATCCGCAGGGGGCTTTTTGGGAAGCCCGAAATAGCCTCCGTGCGTCGGGGCTCGCATGGCAACCCGGCAACTGCCGCATTCCCAGCTGCTCCGGGGACGGGCGCGCTCATCCCGCCGGAGCGCCCGGGAAGGGGGAAGAGCCCGGCGGGGAGGAATCCCGGGATCCGATTACCCGCGGCGATCCCGTAAAACGCCGCCTTCCAGCCCTTCGGCTCCGCGATAAAACAGCCGCTTTGATTCACGGCGTTCCCGGGCCCGATAAAGCATTCCGTAAACGTACCTGTCCGCAGCCGGGGGCATTGCACACAAACGGCCTGTCGTCTCCCATATTTCATGCAGCCCAGAGACGCTGAGGAGAGAAAAGAGAAGAGGAAACTGTTAAATAAGCTAAAAATAAATAAATAGCTACAGGAAGATCATCCAGAGCGGCACCAGTGTTTTGAGGGAAGGAGGAGCCCTTTCCGGCCCGGCTCGGGCACGAGGAGACGGAATTCAGAGGGTTAAATGAGCCCTGGGCTGCTCCCAAGTTTGGAGGTGCCCAAAGGCGCTTCCATGCTCGGAAGGGGCTGTGGAGGGATCGGGCGGTCCGAGGTTTGGGAAGCGACGGCGACGCTCGGCGCCACCGTCCCCAACGCGCGCGACAGAGGGAAAACCTGCATCCATGGATGCCGAAATCCATGAAATCCCTCATCCCCGGGAACGTGGTGGGATGAGGAAGAGCGAGGACAGGCCCTGCCTCTCCCTGTCCCCTCTGCGGAGCCGCCGGTGACAATTCCCAGGAAGGCGCCGCGAGCGCCGGCGAGGAGCCATCCAATAAATCCACGTCCTCTCCACAAACACGTTATATTTTCAATGGGAGAGAGCTCGAATTTGTCATTTAATTAATTAAGGGATTATAGGAGTGGTGCTCCGTTTTACAAGGCAATAATCTGGCTCCCCAGTGGGTAAACTACAAGGCTGGTGGCAGGGGTAGTTTATCACGGATTATAGCCACGGATAACAAACACGGCGGCCCGGCGCGCTGCAAGCAAAGCTGCTTTATTAATAAAATATAAGAGTAAATAAAGTCGAGCTCCAATGCGAGGAATGGTGCTCCCAGCCCCCGGGATTTGGGTTTTTCCAGGGGGATTTTGGCAGTCGCTCCGGTGCCGTGCACGGCGCCTCTTCCCGGTATTCCAACGCCGGCAGCGCACACTGCCCTGTTCCCAGGGTGGGATCCAGGTGTTCCTTAATGCAGGAAATGGGGCTTTCCCTAAAGGGGCTCCAACGGTGGCCACTGCCTCCCCGTGAGCCGGTCCGGCTGCGGAATAACACGATGCCGGCCCAAAACTCCGAGGAAAGCGGCTGCCGGCTCCTCTCCAGCAGGGAAAAGGCAGGAGCAGCTCCGGAAGCCGGGTTACGGCTGGATTTCCTCCTGCGCGTCCACCCGCAGCTTCCAAGCGGGAATCTTGGAGAGGAGAGGACCGAGCGCGTCTCTTCCCGGGATGATCGGCCACAGGCGCTGCTCTCCCCTTCCGCAGGGGACGGATCCTCTTCCGGATCCTCCATGGCAGCAAGGAAAGCACGCGGAAAGAGCCTGGAATTCTCCTCGGGCGCCTGGGATGCTGCGGAAAGGGCTCCGAAGGGAGCTGGGGCCACCAAGGTTTGAAGTCGGCTCTGAAAATGCCCGGAAAGCCCCAAATCCCGCGCGGGGCCGGCGGGAAGCGCTTCCGTGAGGAAGGGGCTCCCGACGCGGAGCTCGAGGGCCGGCTCCAAGTCCCACGACTCCCACAGACGCTTCCGCCAAAGCCAACCCGGCACCGGGGCGCGAGGAGCACCCAAACACCCGGGATTCCCCACGGATACAAATGGATCCGCTTCCAACGGATCATCCGGGATTCTCCACGGATACAAATGGATCCGCTTCCGTTGGATCAGCCGGGATTCTCCACGGATACAAATGGATCCGCTTCCATTGGATCACCCGGGCTTCCCCACAGATAGAAATGGATCCGTTTCCATTGGATCACCCTGGGCTTTTCCACGGACAGAATGGATCCAAACACCCAGGCATTTCCATGGACAGAAACGGATCCATTTCCATTGGATCACCCAGGCTTTTCCACAGATACAAATGGATCCATTTCCATTGGATCACCCAGGCTTCTCCACGGACACAAATGGATCCGCTTCCGTTGGATCCCCCGGGCTTCTCCACGGACACAAATGGATCCACTTCCATTGGATCACCCAGGCTTTTCCACAGATAGAAATGGATCCATTTCCATTGGATCACCCTGGGCTTTTCCACAGACAGAATGGATCCAAACACCCAGGCATTTCCACAGACAGAATGGATCGACTTCCATTGGATCACCCGGGCTTCTCCACGGACAGAATCGGATGCATTTCCCTTGAATCACCCGGGTTTTTCAACAGACAGAAATGGATCCATTTCCATTGGATAACCCGGGCTTCTCCACGTGGATCCTTCCCAGGGTCACGGGAGCAGCCGGTTGTCCTTCCCGCCATGGAATCCTTGGGGGTCCCTCCGCTCCCGCTGCCCCTAGGGATGCGGCCGGGCCGCCGCGGCGCCGACGGCGCAACGGGAGCGGGAAAACAACGCGGAAAAGCCGGCGGCGCTCCGCTCCGGCTCCTGTGCCGCATAACAAGCGGATCCATTAAAAAACCCGGGAGCAGCTCGCCGGAAAGGCCCCGCTTCCCTTGGTCTCGCGAGGTGTCAGGAGGATTCGCTCATTCTTTAGAGGAAGATTTAGCTGCTCGTTCACTCCGGAATACGACCGCTCCGTACATACGTGTGCCCAGATTTATACCGCATTTAGGCAGGATAAATTGCTTCAATAAATCCTCTTCTTAAGAACGGGCCGGATAAGCAGATGATTGGATACGGGGAGTGCATTCCCATTCCTCTTCCTGCGGCCGCGGGCCGGTATTTCACCGTTTTGATGAGTTTCAGCGCGTTGGAGACGGCGAGGGGACGTGCCGGAACGCAGACGGATGGCCGGAGTGCGCTCCCGAGCTCGGGAAACCTAGGAAGAGAGTCCTGGGGAGCAGGATGAGCCCGAGTCCACGTGTATCCATGCCTCTTCCCTCATGGATGCTGTATGTGCATGGGAATAACGCGCAGGTTCTCCGTAGGGATGCACACCAAAGCAGGGGAGGGTGTTGTGTCCCCATCCAGGCACCCCTTGGATCATGCACAGCTCATTTAAGGGGAGGAATTCCGGGATCGGATTCAGGATCCTCTTCCTGCGGCCGCGGGCCGGTATTTCACCGTTTTGATGAGTTTCAGCGCGTTGGAGACGGCGAGGGGACGTGCCGGAACGCAGACGGATGGCCGGAGCGCGCTCCCGAGCTCGGGAAACCTGGGAAGAGAGTCCTGGGGAGCAGGATGAACCCGGTGCCCGGGTCCGCGTGTGTCCGTGCCTCTTCCCTCATGGATGCTGTATGTGCATGGGAATAACGCGCAGGTTCTCCGTAGGGATGCACACCAAAGCAGGGGAGGGTGTTGTGTCCCCATCCAGGCACCCCTTGGATCATGCACAGCTCATTTAAGGGGAGGAATTCCGGGATCGGATTCAGGATCACCTCCTCTGCAGAACGCAGGGAAGAGC